ACCCTCGCCTGTGCAATGCGAGGAGACCGCGATTCGAACCCGGGACCTTCCAGTCACAGGCAGTAAGACTCTACCACTTACACCAGGCCCACCCTTCATCATTAAGATACTAAAAAAAATATAAAGTTTCAGCAGCATATTAATCACATACAAGCGCTTGTTACCTTGGGAAAATTATATCTCACTTAAGCGCATCCAAACCGGTTAGATTAAAAAATGGTCATTTCCTAATCACGTTCAAGCGCTTGTCATCCAATTATTTTTTCCTAATTTTCACATCATTTGCTTGGGAGGGGCAAAATGGTCATTTATAGATCAACTTAACAGCAAACTTAACGGATTTTGATGGAAATGGCAGATCAACTTAACAGATTTTGACGGAAATGGCAACGAGGGAAGTGTGAATTATTCCGATGACAATGAGAAAAGTTCAAAAATTTCGATGGCAGTGAGAGAAGAGGTAAAATTTTCAATGGCACGGAGAGAATTGGCTCTTTATACATGGTGTATAAGTGTGCTCACAAAACCTAGCATCTCTAGTTCTCCCCTCTGTATTTTCCAAGGCTATGCTCTTTGTTCTAAACTTTTGTGGTGGCGCGGTGACCATAGGCCTGTTCGGCAGGACTGAAAAATACTGTTCCGGCTGATTGTTGTGAGAGAAAAATATTGTTCTGGCAGGACATAAACAGTAATTTTATGAGAAGAAAAACAAGCCAGCCGGCTGGCTTTACGTGTGTCGAGCCAACAATGGCCATTAATTACGAACAACGAGTATGAGGGGCCAGAGCGGCTGCATACAGTGACTGCAGAGGTCGCGGCTGTGGCCGTCTCCTTTGCCTATATGCAACAAATACACTGCCAAATGGTAGTACAAGCAAATCAAGCACTGGCACAAACAGAGAATGTAATAGTTGGCACCGGACACATGCAAATGAGCAAACGCCAAGCAATAAATATTTGTGGTTTTTAAGAAAACACTAAGTGCCTTAGCGTAATTACAGCGACCGCTATAGCTTACTTAGACCTTGTGTGGATGCGTATGTATTCATCTCAATCCATATGTGTTGAAGTGGATTGGAGTGGAATTAAACTAAAATTCATTCCATTCAACTCCAACACATGTAGATTGAGGTAGATACACATGTATCCAAACAAGGCCTTAGTATATTTCTGAAGACTCCACTGGACACCTTAGCTCGCTATTTAGAACACTATTGTCAACTCAAATCCATCCCTTTGTTTTTAGACAAAAAGGTAAATCAAGTTCATCCAAACGTTTTCGCGAGGAAGGTGGAGAGTGGAGATCCAAGCGAGAAGTGACAGGTCATTATTAATTAACGCTCCGTAGGCCTCTTGTAAATTCCAAAAGAAGGGTAAAAGTAGAAGAAGATTGGATTTAGCATGCGCTTCCATTCTAATCCTCTCGGCCTCTTTCCCTTTCCAAGTAGCCTACAAGTCATGGGTTTTTTCCACTCTCTCGGCTGTCATACATTCAAGTAGCATCCTCCCAAAAATTCTTACAAATTTACCAAAAACGGTTATTTTTGCTTGGGTGGTGTGCCAGGTCATAGTGCCAATGTGGAGGCGCATTGCTAAAAGACCAAGCTGCCCTGCCCTTAACACCATTAACCCGCACAACTCTTTTCTCTCTCCGGTGCCCATTCCATTCGGTGGAGGCCGCCTTCGCCTCCTTCGTTCCCTATTCTGTTGCCGCCAATCACCATTGCTATTGGCCTCCTCCTCTGTCGCTGAAGCCTACGCCTTGCGCCTGATGCAGGGTGTGCAAATGCGCCCTCATCTCTCAACCCTATTTCCCACGGGGGTTTGGCTGTGGGTTTTGGATAGGGTTTGCGAATTGATTGGCTATGGTTTTTGTTTGCTTCATAGAATGTCTGGTTGGGGAGATCTCTGACAGTTCAGTGTAGCAGATCAGATGCTTCTAGGGGGAGAACCCCCTGCAATGGAGCCATCGTTGGTTTGATTACCGTTGGGGAAGGAGACAAGGCTCCCTCTGGTCATGTGCCCATGGTGTAGAAGGGCAAGGGTGATTGAGCTAAGGGTCAAGACAGATTAGAACTATGGCTGTGTTTTCTTCAAATGCCCACTCAATATAGAATTGGTAAGTTGAGTTGCCTGTCTTCACAAAATGGCTTTAACCCATGATTTTGATGTATGCATTTTGGTTAGTTATTTTGTAGATGCCTGGCAGGTGTGGCTTCTATGAATGACAAAAGGATTACCTAAAAATGTTGATGGTTTCAAGCATTTATTGTGATGAACTTGGATGTTATGGAAGAGTCACCGGATGAGTTGATTGAAGAAGTCAATTCTATTGGAAACCCCTGTGTTCCTGATGAAGCAGTTCAGACCTCTACATTGGGGAATCCTACATTGGAAGGAAAGATAGAGCATTTGACTTGGACAGTGGAGATGTTGACTTTTTTGGTAGTTGTAGTAGTAGTGCCGGTGTGAGTTAGGAAGTAACAGTAATCTTCTTGGATGTTAACTGATGACCAATGTATTTTGCATTGATGAATGAAAAACAATATATGCAGTATGTTGCCCTAATGAAATGGTGTCCAATTTATGAGCGTGTTGTTTCCAAGACGTAGTATGTTGCCTAATTTGAATGTTTTGTAGCATGTTATTTACAAGATGCAAAGTGTAACATGACTAAAAATAGAACATGCCAGATACATGACTAACAGGTTCAACATAATAGAACATGCCATCAATTTGTAGAATACCAGGACAAGCTGGTAAGTGCCTTACAGAACATAGTGGCCATCAGGCCCAAAAAGACAACATCAGTTTCTCCTATTATAACTTGACATTAGCAACTACCAAAATACAACATAGTGCCCAAAAGACAACCAAGAGTTTCAGCTTTTTCACTTCTTTGCTGGGGAGGCCTGTTTTACTTTGATGGCCAACCGATTCTTTCTTGGTGTAATCTTCTTAGTAGGATGCACCAGAACTGAGGAATGCTGGTGATGACGGCTCAGGTGGCAGTGAGGTAGGTGCTGGTAGAACTTTCTTCTAGCAGGATCAAATCAAACAAAGACCCTAGTCAATCAATCCACAAACCCTAGCTAAAACCCACGGCCAAACCCGAGCAGGAAATAGGGTTGAGAGATGAGGGCACATTCGTGTATCTTGCATTTGGCACAAGCTTTAGCGATGGTGACTGGCGGCTCCGGGACGGGGAACCGAAGAGGCGAAGGCGGCCTCCGCCGAATGGATTGGGCATGGGAGAGAGAAAAGAGTCGCGTGGGTTAATGGTGATGAGAGTAGGGGCAACTTGGTCTTTTCGCTATGCGCCCCATGTTGACGCCATGAACTGACACGCCACACAAGCAAAAATGATCATGTTTGGTAAACTTGTAAGAAATCTTTTCACTCGGATGGCAAATTTGTAAGAAAATTTAGGAGGATGTTATTTAAATGTGTGACAACCATGAGAGTAGAAACAAAACTAAAAAGCGCACGAGTCATTATCCCCGGGCCCGGAAACCGACAGGCCGGAACAAAAAGAATGGTGCATTGCCACTCCACCCAATCCGCTTGCCATCGACCATCGTTTCTTGATTTCCTCCATTTCTGTGGGACTCGTCGGATTCACTCACCATCCATCCATTGTTTTCGACTCTTGCGGCCTTGCCCCACCCATAAAGCCGATGGGTTAGCTCCCCCGCGCCGCACGCCCAAGAACACGAGGAGCCGACGCCACGGCGACGGCCGTCCTCTCCCGGCCAGCTCCGTCGCGGGCTTCGTTTCAACCCTGCCTTTGCTTCTCCCTTCACCCCGCGCGGCTCTCTCTCTTGGCGACGATTGGGGGACCACTGCCGCCGCTCAACGCCAGGTAGACAGGTCTTGGTCGGCCCTCCGCCGGCGACGAGCACCCACCAGGTATTCCCGCCCCCTTCTCTTCACTTCCTGCCGTGCGGAGCCGATCAACCAATCCCTAACTTCATATATTTGTCTTCGGAGGTTCCGATCTAGTAATTGAGGTGTATTATGACTACTAACTTCGATTTGATTGCAAAAATTATCGGGTGTACATGTGTACACCGATGTCCTCTATTACTGGGTCCAGCCGTCCACAGAGTTGAGTGTCAAAACCAAAATGACACATCGGAGGGCAGATTGATAATTGGCCTGTTTGTTCAATAGTGCTATCTGAAAATAGCGAGTCTACAATCAGCCTCGCGGAATGATTTTCTTCTTTCGAAGAAACGGAACGAATTTCTTGATTAATCAGAACTTCCAATAGACACAACACATTTGACATTAGCACAACTCTCGGGGATCATTACAACTGGTTGGCAAATTATTAGGAAAATGATCTACTGTATATTGTCTAAAACCCAAATGGTGGCAAGTGGCATCCTTATATTGGATTGAATCATTGAAGGAGTGGGAGGCAATAAACTTGACAATGTACTGCGGTACTGCCAGTCAATTCAGCTGATTTGTCTTTGTCTTCATGTTACATTAATCACCCTAAATTCCTGTAATAAGCTAAAAACGATGAGCTAAATCACAATATAACTTGTTGATTCAGCTATGCATCCTTTTCTTCCTACTGCTTTATGGCTTATTTATCTCGATGGACGACAGAAACATAAGCTACTTATTTGTCTAGTATCTGTATCCTAAGCTTCAATACTTATGTATTGCCAGTATTGGCCACAGCTTGTGCTCCATGCAACCTTACCCAGCTTACATTTTCATTGACGCTTGCATGACTTGATCTAGGATATAATAAAGTAATAGGGAGTTTTCTGTTTCATGGGCATTTGGCATCTTTCTTATTGTCAAGGAAGTATGCTTACATGCTAGTATTTATCAACATAAAGACTTATGCATCGCTTGGATAATGTGATTGCTGTTTTGAGATGGATATTCATCCAATTTCTTGTTTTATTTCGGTGGGCGATTGCTTATCAGGTTTTGACAATTTGTTGTTGTTATGGACAGTTTTGTGATCGGTGAAACTAATGTCTGCTGCTGAAGCAAGGGCTGCTTGGCAACGTGCTGCAAACCGTTGCCTGGTTCAGGAGGACAGGAAGAGAGCTCCAAAACTAGCTTGCTGTCCACCATCGGCTGAACAACATGGTACAAACAATGGGAACTGTCGAAATTCTGCAGATCGTCCCATCTGCAGTTTAGTGCCTTTGAGATGGAATCCCATGCATTCTAATCTGCCACCAGATTTCAGATGGTGGGTTCAGTCACAGCCAAATTTTGGGATCCAGAAGGATATTGTTAGTGAGCGGCTGTGTTCGTTGGGCAGGGACATTCATGAGAAGCAAGTGGAAGATTCAGCGCCACAACCTAAACATGAGGAAATGTTACTCTGTCAATCAGTTGACACCAGCACTGAAAAGATTGGGGATGTTTTGGATCCTCCATGGATGGTTTCATCAGCCTTCACAAAGTATTCCCTTGAAACAGGCTTAGAAGAGATGAAGACTGTTGGTAGCTATTCTCAAGTGTCTAAGTGCATAGAAACTCTCAGCAATTGTTTGTACAAGGATAATGAATCCCAAGATTTTGAATGTATTGACCAAGCACCTTTGAAGAACCCAGATAAGGCTAATTTTGATATGGATGCACCTTGGAAAGGTGAAAAGACTCGACCATGGTGGCAGATCGCTGATGAGGACCAGCTTGCTTCACTGGTTGCAGAAAGAGCAACACAGCACATTGAGAATTGTGATCTACCAAGGCCTACCCAGACAGTACGTATTAACAGGACAGAACCATATACTCACAAACATATAGGTGACTATGGGGGACCTTCATCTCCTGCAGGAAGAGTGTCACATCCTGTTCCTGGACATTGTGACCATATCGAGTGCAGCTATAGCACAGGAAGTACAGATGAGTTGGTTTTGTTATATGGTAATGGAGTTTGGGAACAGCATGGAAGGAATGATACATATAGGTGTGCGTTCTTCAGCTTAGCTGCATTACCCTCATGGCATTAGGTGTACTTTTTCCTAACTGTATCTGGACTTGCAGCTTATTTTGTTTCATTTCATATATGGGTATCTGAGGTATAGAAAATTCATCAACAGCATATTACAAGTATAATTAGCATGCAAGAAGATAATAAAGCTTGATAACTTTGGTTCTGATGGTGGGATATGCAGTCTAATTTAATATTTGTTTTTTTGTTCAAAATTTATCAAGCTTTAGTAAAATTTGCATGTCTATTGTCAGCAAGAGGGTACACAGTTCACATATATATACTATATACATCCTTCTTGAAGACTTTCAAATGTCTTCCCTTTTTTCCATAATTTTGTTTAGTATCCTGGTCACATACTCATTTCATCTCATTTTTATTATGTGCAGCATGGCTCAATATTTTTCTAGCAGTAGCACAACCAGATTGGAGAGCAAACAAACCCTCCAGAATGCTTCAGAGCGAGACAAGATTTTGGAGGCACTCCGCCATTCACAAACCCGTGCTAGAGAAGCTGATATGGCTGCCAAGAAAGCACACAATGAGAAAGACGATGTCATCAAGCTTTTGTTCCGACAGGCCTCACATCTCTTTGCTTGCAATCAGTGGCTGAAAATAATGCAGCTGGAGAATATTGTCCTGCAGCTCAAGCACAAAGAGCATCAGATAGCAGCCATCATACCTGAACTTCCATGGTTAACCCTAAAAGAGAAGCCTACACAGGGTCAGGAACAGAGACATTGGACTAGGAGGAAAGGTAGAAGGCAGAAGAAGGGAGGTGGGTTCTTTGACGCGATCTTATTTGCTGTTGGGTTAGGTCTTGCTGGAGCTGGGTTTCTTCTTGGGTGGGCTCTTGGGTGGCTGCTGCCAAAGTTGTAAAGTTATTGGTTATTTTTCTTTGGGGGTAGCTAGCTAGGCATGTATTTTGCTGTGTAGGATCCATAGATGGAAGGCCAAGTGCACCCCTTCATGAAAATGGTGCCAAATGATCAAATTTGTTAGACCCTAGCATCTGTTGATTTGGAAACCATGATGGTGCAATGGCGTAAATGAATGTCCAGTTGTCCACACTGCACCAAGAGCTTTTTTTTCCAAATATTTTGTTTGATGTAAATATGTGTGATGTTGGTATCTCTGAATATTGTACTTATGAATCGGTGTTTAAATTGAAGCTTTGTCATCTGTTGGGTTGCATGTTCGAGGAAAAAAAAAGCCTTGCCGCGTTCAAAGTATATTGGGTAATTTTAAGATGCTGTGGAATTCCTTGAATATCACAATATAAATTATGCATTACCTAAACCGTGTTTTTATGAAAATTTTATGGAATTTCATAGATTTAACTGTAGGGTTTGTTGGCAGGATGGTTGTAATAGAAAGGATGTCGACATAACATTTTCAGAAATTTCATAGAACATCTTGCCACTTTTTTTAACCAATTTAATTCTACCATTTTACTTTGCGCAAAAAAAAAAAAATCTACCCTTTTACTATCAATTCTTAATTAAATTTACCACATCTAACTCTTTTCTTATGCCATGGGCCTCCGCAGTCAAAGTCCGTGTCATGACTAATAATTGACTATTGTCTTGGTGGAACAACCTATTTAGTTGTGCCATAGGTTTTGACATGATTAATAAATAAGTTAAGCGCTATGTTCTTACTGGACATCCTATTTAGTTCTGCCGTAGGTCTTGACATGATTAAAAGAGTATATCTTGAAGATGCAGTTGTACGTGAGTTAGTATTGACATAAGTGCACCAAATGAACATTTTGGCCAAATTACTAGGAAACATGGGTGTTTGTTTCCTTTCACACGCGCTATATTTCATCCCTTTTTTCAATATTGATTAACTTAAGCTCTTATGATAGTGTTTTTTATCACCAGCAATGAATATGGGGCGTATATCACATCTAGCACATCAGTGGAGTAGCACATGAGACTGGCTCAGGCTGTGGTGCTCTATTCAGTTACAATCAGATCCAACTTATATGCATGTGTATCTATCTATGCCTTTACACCAAGTAGAAAAATGGGTGTTTGGTAGAATCCGATTTCGATCAGCCAGACGGCTCAGTCCACCCGGCCCCTGTCCTGAGGGCTGGTTAGGGCTTCCGTGAGAATACCCGTGGACCATATACTCAAAGTATTCCTCCCGTCCACGAAGAATGTCATTCCCGTTTACCGAAAAGTCAAATATTTTTAACTTTGACCAATTACATATAAAAAATAATATTTATAGTATATAATTAGTACCATTAGATGAATCGTTAAATATATTTTTATAATAAATTTATTTAATGATATAAATGTTATTAGTATTTTCTATAAAGCTGATCAAACTTTAAAAAATTGACCAACACATATACCATAGCGTCATTCTTTTTGGGAGGGAGCAGTTCCTGGAGTCCTTAACAAGTTTGTAGCAATCCTGAATTCTTGATGATGACCTGAGCTCAGTGCTTCAGCCTTCCCGTCCGCCTGGGCCTGGGAGACAACCTTTACATAAGTTCGCAAGAGAGTATCTGTGAAGGCTACAACGACCGACTAGGAGTCTCCTTCCAGTAAAACTCACGCAGCTAGAAAGGTTACTTCATTATTGACACTAGATTATAACTTGACAACAGGTAACTGACATGGCTAAAAAGGTTACTTCATCTATCGTCGACATGCTAGAAAAGGATGCTGAATTGACTTTTCAGTTTATTTTCTGAGAATATAGGTAATTACGCCTGCAATATTTGAATCTGCTAATTAATGTTATATGAATATTAAGTTTAATATTGACTAATCCCCTCTGCTAGACTCTAGCTCCTGCTTATTGGCTGCTGGTTAACTCCATGTGAACTGTCATGGAGAACAACATACAGCTGCATGTCTTTGGGAAGACAATCATATGGTCGTCGTCAGCCGTTGCATTCCTCACGATTGAGTGAGTAGCTTAATGTACACGATGGTATGTTTAACATAACAAAACTAGATCCGAACGTCTGGCGTCCGGACGTCCGGACGCCCACGTCTGTTGCGCCTGCTTTCACGTGGGGCCCTAGGTGGACTAATTGTGTTTATGTGAGATACACAGGTGATTAGTCCACAGGTACATGTGTGTAAGCAACATATGCCATAAAGGTGAAAATGGCTCGAAGATGTTGCAAAGCTCACACATGTGATGATGAAGTAGCTCATTGCACATGAGACATGACATTGAGTCATGTGATCAAGGTGGGGAAGATCAAGGCATGACTTGGCTTGATGGACCGTTTGCAAGCGTGAAGGGCAAGTTGGAGGCTTTGGAGCGATGGACCGCGTGGCGGTGAAGCTTGAGCAAGACTTGGCGCCGATGGACGAAGGCAATGATGAAAAGCAAGTGAAGTCAAGATCGATGAACCAATATGATCACGTGATGATATAAAGTGGATCATATCATTATTGATTGTGTTGGTGCATATGTTGCATCGATATTGGAGGAGATGGAATGAAATGCACGAGGCAAAGGTATAACCTAGGGCATTTCATTTCACCGGTCATAGGTGTGTAGAGAAGTTGATGACCAGATTTAGGATAGATGGCCGTACTATCAAGAGGAGCAAATTTGTTTGCATATCGGTCATCTAGTGCCACTCGAGTGATCTAACTTTGCATCGTTGCTAGGAGCGAGTGGAGTGGCAAGTGGAGTGGCTAATCCTTTGAAAAATGTTTGTGAAAAGCTAACACACATACACATGGTGGTGTACATTTGGTGGTGTTGGTACATTTGTAAAGGAGAAGAAGTTGGAGTTGAAATGAATCAACTCGGTGAAGAAACGGAGGCGATAAGGTGTCACTGTGAGTGACCGGATGTTGGCCTCAACAGGACCGGTGCGTCCGGTAAGTGACAACAGTGAATGTGCAGGCGTCGGTCTTTGATCGGACGCTGTTCGAAACTTCACCAGTAGAGTGTCCTCCTGTAGAGTGCGGACAGTCCGACGGTGCCACCGGCGCTCTGTATAGAAAAGATAGGGTTTCACTAAGTGCACCGGACGCATCCGGTGGCTAACTCTAGGCATCAGTCAGTCAGCAGAGACTAACCGGACTCTGAGCGAGCCCAGTCATGTGTGACCGGACGCGTCCAGTCGCTCAGGGAGCTCTCTGGAAGTGACCGAACGCTGACGGTGAAAGTGACCAGACGCTGGCAGGGCGCGTCTAGTCGCATGTGACGTATGGTGACGCAGGCAGGCGCGAGAAGCCAGAGCTGATCAGACTCTAAGCTACATCCGGTCACCTGTGATCGGACACGTCCGGTCGCAAAACAGAGGCTCGAGGAGCTCTTTGGAAATGATCGGACTCAGACATAGCAGCGTCCTGTCATCTCACTGTGCTACATCCGGTCGCAACTTAACCGTTGGCGTGTGAAGCCAACCATTGAGATCAAGCGACTGAGGTTGAATGGAGGCGACGTGTGGCGTGCATCCATTGATCGGACGCTGGCAGGGTGTGTCCGGTCGATACGACCAGCGCGTCCGGTCGCCCCGAGCAGTGCCCAATGAAGGCGTACAATGGCCCTATTTCTGTGGGGGCTATAAATAGAAGGGTGTCTCGATCATGGCTGGTATAGAGCACCTTGGGGGACTTTGTGTCCATACTTGAGAGTGCTTGGGAGCCCTCTAACTCACTCTAGCTTGATAGTGTTCATCCGGTCGAGTGAGTGAGCGATTCTAGTGTGATTGTATCGTAAGGTTGCATCGAGTGGCACTAGGTGATCGAGTTGCAAGCCGGTGGTGTCTGTTACTCTTGGAGGTTGCCACCTCCTAGATGGCTTAGTGGTGGTCTCCGTCGAAGGCCACAAGAAGTTTGTGCGGTGCTCCGGAGAAGAGCTTTGTGAGGGGCATTGTGCTCGCCCCATGGGAGCCGCGAAGAGCAACTCTAGTAGAGTGAGACTTGAAGGGCGACAAGTGGTCCGGCCAGGTCAAGTGTTAGAGCTTGTGGTAAGCACTCCACATGGGAGAGTGTGACTTGTGGGTCACCACTAGCAAGAGGACCGGTGACAACCTTGAGCTTGTCTCAACGGGGAAGTAGCGTGTTGGCAAGCACGTGAACCTCAGGAGAAAATCACCATGTCAACATTGTCTTCATCATCTTCTCAGTGGTTTGCTTTCCGCGCAATATAAGCTTGTATTACCTTCATATACATTGTGCTTGTGTAGTTGCTCTTGTAATTAGTTAGCTTGTGTAGCTTGCTAGTTACCGTCTAGCTTGTATAGCATAGAAGTAGCTTTCTTGCGTGACTAATTTGGTTTGTGTAACCTTGTTAGTCACATTGCTTAGTTTGTGTAACTAAGTAATTTGCGCTGTATAATTTGGCTTGTGTAGCCTTGTTATTGAGCATTGTTAGTGAGCCTAGGTGGCTTTGTGCTTTTACTTACTAGCATGTGTAGGAGCTCCCCCATTGCTTGAAGTACTAGTGGCATAGGTTTGTGTGACCTTGCTTATAGAATTGATTAGGTGAGCTCTAGCTAGCTTGACACCTTAATTGCTTAATTAGGATCTTTGCAAGGTGCTAGAGAACATAGATAGAGGGGTGTAGTCTTGGCTAGACCGATAGTTTTAATTCTGCATTTGTTTCAGTTAGCCGTCGCGATTAAATTTAGAAAGGACTATTCACCCCCCTCTAGTCCGCCATCTTGACCTTACAACTGCGTGCACGACCTCCCCATCATTGTCGAGCTGCCAAATCAAGCTTGGTACCGCCTCCGCTTGTTGGCGGCCTTTTCCAATCCCCGCTTTGAGTTCGCCGTCATCCCCTCTCTCTCCCCGTGGTTTTCCCGTGTGAGATGGTGGACGGAATCACCCAGACCACGCCAGCAACCTCCTCTGTTTTTCTGACCGTGCGCCGCTGCCGGT